GTAATAGACTGCATCTATAAAAAATTACAAAAAGCCTTTTATTCGTCGCTGACATATGACACACCTGCCGTTTACCTTGATCAATTAGTAAGATGGATATTACTTTAAGATTTTGAGTGATTCAGAAAGCTCTCCTTGGCGTTTTGTGATAGAAAATATTTTTCAGAAATATCTCTTGATAGGAATAACGGATCTGTTACTCATTTAGGTTTTGATCTATCGGTTTCTGCTAGTAATAGTTGGTGAAGGATGTCAAATTTCAAACGTCTGCTAAATACTGGGACGAACAAATTAGTTTTGGGTTAATCATAAGCACGCTTATTTACAGAAAAAACTTCGATAAACAAATGTTTATAGTGGTCGATATAGGTTTGGCGGAGGTTCTAATGCCGTAAAATTCAAGGATTCCTCGTCTCAGGAGAAAGACTTGATGCTTTTTTGAACAAGGGGTGTCCCTTTTGAGCATCTCTTGGAAATTAAATTTTTTGAAAGACTTTGCTTCAAGAACCCTAAAATATACTTTTCTATAAGCTATTTTTAACCATATTTTCCCCATTTTTGTTGATTCCAATGCACACTTTCAGTTATCGGTAGTTTCAGCTGCCGGTTCAAATGACGAAAGTTACGCGCTATGAAACGTCCGCAGGGAATGATACGTATGAAACAAGAAATTCTCTCAAGGAAAAAATATATGGAGTTCAAGGAGTATTCCTAAAGTAACGCTGCTGAATTATTTCAAGGGTAATTATAGTGATCGATATATATAATTATATTGCGAACCATTTGCACACTTGTATATTTCCATGTTCACATCCAACTCTACGGAAGTTATGTTTAAAGTTAAAGTTAAGTTTATGAAAAAGTTAATTGCAGAAGAAAATATATATAAAATACTTAGGGCAATCCAAAAGTAGTGTCGTCACTATCTTATTTCCTTATAGTAAGTTCAAGGAAATTTTCGTTTTTGATGTAGTGATACAGGAAAGAATGCTCTATTTTTCTATGCTATTTGATCATACTTCAACTAATATTATAATAATAAAATTTCGATAAGATCTGTTTTGTTTGTATGTGTCCCGGTAGCATGAACGCTGATTTTAAAAAAAGACGGATGAGTATGTTTTGAATAACTTTTGATAAAAACAAGAGAGAGAGCTGCGGTCTTCACCGCTGGAAAGAGGAGATGATGACACATCGAATCATATATGACAGGGTTTCCTGACCTATTTTTTGTCAGATTTTCAATTTATCTTTTTAACAGCAAACGTATCTGGTAAGGTGTTAACAGTGAATTTTCAATTGTCAAGTACAGATTCAAGCCACTAATCGAAGATCTGGAAACTGTGGAAGGCTGAGATGAATAATATGTATGCTAGTCCACCCTCTAATACGATTTTCTACCAATTTCTGTGAAAAAACTTCACTTTTGTTCTTTTTTCTTTTATCATAAAAAAGCATTTTTTCGGCAGTTAGAAAATTGAATAAAAATGTTTTTAGAAATCAATATTAGAAAAATCTGTAATACACGATTCGATGCGTCACCATCCCCTTTTTTCAGCGGTGAAAACCGCAGCTCTCTCTCTTGTTTTTATCAAAAGTTATTCAAAAAATACTCCTCTCGCGTTCATACTACCAGGACACATGCAGACAAAACAGATCTTATCGAAATTTTATTATTATAATATTAGTTGAAGTATGATCAAATAGCATAGAAAAATAGAGCATTCTTTTCTCTATTACTGCATAAAAAAGAAAATTTCTTTGAGCTTATTATAAGAAAATAAGATAGTGACGACACTACTTTTGGATTGCCCTAAGTAGCACTTGTGAATACTGGTCAATAATTAATCCAGTTCGACAGAAGTACCGGCCACTTGAACAATAGTTAATACAGAGCGTTGCTAAGCAATCTACGTAAATCGTTTTGTTCATTTATTTTTTTTGAAATTTTGAAACTGTTCCCATTAGATTTACTATCATTTTTTAACTAAGAACCCGAATTTTCAAAAGCATAGAGCTAAAACTGACTGAATTTTGCGTAAATCAGTTGATCGATTATGGGCGAAACTGCCTCATTTTCAATGAAAACTAAATATCTGGAGAAAGAAAAACAAATTCTTTCATTCCGATATATCACTTTGTTCTACATTTAGTGGCGGTAATATTACTATGTCCGACAGCGAACCATTTTGATGGAGGTAATGGAAAATTAGGATTTTGCTTTAACTTTGTGGAAAACTCTTCAACATCTGTTAGAAATGGTGGTTATGATCTAGGTCACTCCGGCCTTCATTGGTACTTACTAAAACTGATTTCTCGACATGGATGGTATGGCTCGAGGCATGATGTATATCTAGGAGCCATTGCATGAGAGAAACAACAAATCATGCTCATTTGATGTTTCAGATTCGCTTCTAACATTTTGTTCAAAATTCGATTCTCTATCTTTGGCATCATTGCAGTACAGTACTGTGTATTCGACTTTTTATTTTGCTTTTTCTACCAATATTCGAAGATCCTCTAATATTTGAAAACATCAATAGTTTATATCAGGCTCATTAACACACGGTACATCAAAAGGCCATCGATGTTCATTGTTAAGAGTACACTCTCTACTTTTTCTAGACGAATAACGTCAGTGTGAGCGTAGTAAATATCTTTTGAAGCGCAAACAAAACACCAGAAACCAAATTGTTTGAAAATAGGATTGATTAATAGAGAATCGAATTTTGAACAAAATGAGATCTACCCGGGCATTCTACGGCTTTTCCTTGATCAGAAATCTGCAAAAAAATCAGAAAAGCGATTCAAAATTTTCTTTAAATGGGTTTTGGGAAGATTAAAGACAATTAAAGACTCTTTCGATGCTTACTCCATCAATGACAATTAGTATTTTATCTTTAGTTCTTCCTTTCCTTTTATTAATAATTTCAAATCGAGAGACAATAAGAAAACTAATTTGAAACAGTCGTAAGTCAATCCGTTTGCCATTTACGATATCATCGTATACTCATCTAAATAAAAGTTTAAAAATTTATTTTTAAGGTTTTACTTGCTGTTAGAGAAGTATATTTCAAAGCAAGTAAGCATTATGTTATGGCAGTTTTTATTAGCCAACCTGATTATTTTGTAAGTAAAATTTAACTATATGAGAGAGTAGGTAAGACAACTTTGTTCTCAACTAATCCGATCTTTTTGACGCAGTTCTAAGAATAACAGTGACTATCTTTTTAAGACTCATTTTTGTACGATTTGAACCTTAGTTATGAAAGGTGGTCCAGAAGGCATGAAGCCACTTTTCTATTAAATTTGTAGCGATATTGACTTGTGTTTAAAAACCTAATATTTAGCTCAAAAGATAAAGAATTTATGTCGATTTGAAATTAATTTTGAATCATTGCTGTGAAAATAAAAGTATTAAAATGTTACGTTATGAAAATTGATCACCTATCTAATTGAAATTCTTCTTAGTGTATCTGATTAAAAAAGATTTGTTAATTACATCACAATACATCATTAAACTCAACAGAAACTTCTGTACAAAGTCCTATAGTACATGTGGCAAAGCAAAATCCTTCTAAGTCAAGGTGGCTCTCGAAAGAGTTTTTCATGAAAGTTTCAAAAGAGTTTAGGAGGATCTATCTTTAGTAGCATCTAATATTATTTCACATTTTGAAAATTAAATTTACAATTTTATTTTCTGGTGTATGTGATCTCGTAAAGTGAGAAATTCTGCATCTTCTGATATAAAATGCATGACTTTAAATTTTGAGTCTGAGGGCAAAATGCCGACAATATGGATTTTCTACGTAAGTCAGTCAATTTAGGGCTTTCCCTCTTGCAAAAAAGAATAATCAACTAACACAAATAGTGTCAGATTGTACAACATAAAATTCTGCATCTTTTGACATTAAAATAATTATTTGTAAATTGAATTGAGAGATCATCAAAGCTTTGCTAAAGAAGTTAAGTTTATTCTGTACCGTTTTGGAAAATCAGAATATTTTAATATATTGAATATTCTGCTGATATTTCGAAAATAATTTCAAAACAAAATTAACAGTTTTCTAGAGAATTAAATTCTCTACCAGTTGAGTTAAATGTTAAATTTTTAAACGCAAGTCAATATAGATAAAAATTTAATAGAAAAGTGGCTTCAGGACTTCTGCACGATCCTTTATATTCGCATTACGGAACTCTTTCGAGGTTTTTTAAAATCAAAGATGCTTTGTTCGCTCAAAAATGTGTGCGTAAATCACAATATTAAATAGCTATTGTAATTTTAATGTTGTCTCAACCATTCGGTACCTTTTTTAATTAAAAATATCGTTTTCGAAGTTTTTAGTATGAAATCATTAGGTGTATATAACAAGCGATGAAAAGAACCGCTTTATCTCACCATGCCTAAGATATAGGCAGCAAGACCGCACCTTTTAAACCACTCTCAAAACTTCCACTCCAGTGACTCATATCGAAGTGTCAAAAGCTTCTACACGAGGCCATACAAACTGTTGTGATCCGCACCCTCCCCGTCAGAGACGCATGTCGGTAACCGTGAGCTGAATCTCAACCAAACCTCCAGACAATGTAAACCTTATGATTATGCACTTCTGATAAAATTTTAGAGGCACCATTTATTATCGATTCGGAGATGTCGCACAATTAGAGGTAAAAAATAGGGCTATTTGTAGCTACAAGGCTTCTCAGTGACGAAAGACGGTGGAGAGCTCGAGAAGGTCTGAAAACGACGAAAACGCTTGTGGCTAGAAGCAAATAGAGCCTGATTTTCGGTTTCACAAATAATGTCAAGCGGCAAAAGTCAAAAGTTCAAAAAATCTCATTCTCCTGTATAAAGATATTTTTTCAAGCACAAGTCTAGACCGAATATAAAAAATTGGGCTCTATTAGCCTCTAGCCACATCTGTCAGCTTCAATTAATAAATGTTTAGCATTCTGTGATTTTACTCGATACAGAGTCTGTATTCATATTTATATACCATATGAAATACAAAAAATCCCAAAATTCCAGCATTCGTATATTCACGCGTATGTCAATACAGATATATTGATAACATGTATGGTCCGTACTGTTGCATCAGACCCAGTGAATACAATCTGTAGCCGTATTGTGACATCTGTGTTACTCCAGGATCTCATTAGAGGGAACAGTAATACCAAAAAACTATCCAGTTCATGTTATTTTGAAAACTCTTTCGAAAGAAAAAAGTTTTTCTTGTTAATACTGAAATATACATCGTGCGATACAGTTTTTAAAAATTAAAGTTTGTATGAATTAGTAACTGAAGAAAATTTTACGAAAATGTGGTTGAATGTTCGTAAAATTCTTATAGTGTGTTTTATTTCAAGAGCTTTTTCACCAATTTCTGCAACTTGTTTGATAAAGTGTTAGTGCACAGTTGACGTTGAACTGTTAGTGCCATTAATAATCATTAAATTTTCTAACGATGATTTCTAAGGTGCAGAAATCTAAGTTTTCAAGTTTTATGAAAAACCATTTTTAAAAACTAAAAACGTTCAATAGTTCTCGCATCTTTCCAGAAGTTCTTATACACAAAAACTATCACAGTTTATTCATTTTATTATGCCTTTTCGAATGAGTCGTTGTTAAAAATCTCAGGTAAATAGGTGCAGCCACAATTGTTAATTAAAGAATGTCACTGTGTTTGAATGTTCTGCTGATGCTTCTGAGAAAAAGTCCACTTTTTTTACTGACATATGAAAATAATTTAGTCATCTTAGTTCGGGGTGAAGAATCGAGTACAAATCGTTTGAACAAAAAGTAGTTTTGGTCACATAACAGCATTAAGCTCAGGCTAGTCATAAGTTGATGAAAACACATGTAACTAGAGGCTAATAGAGTTGGATTTTAGGTATTTTACTTTTCAAATTAATGGTGACCGTTGAAAGTTCAAAATTTAAAAAAGTCTCATTAATTTGCATAAAGATATTTTTCTAACCACAAATCTAAGCCGAATATTAAAAATCGAACTCTCTTAGCGTCTACGCACATGTGTCAGCTTCAATTTAAGACAACTCGGGCTCTCTGTAATATTTCGTTACCGAGAAATCTTGCAGCTACGAAATAGTATTAAGGTGAAAGTAGCTTTCGAGATATAGTGGCGCCAGTATATGATGCATGTTTTAGGGATAAAAAATTCATGTAGCTTTTGTTTCCAAAATTAGATTAGTTGAATAATAAGTTTTCTGCTTTATACGAATCTTCCGTCAGAAACTTTTTTCTTCACAATTAACAGACATTTCGAAAGGATTTTTTAGAACAGTCTGCTTACTAGTTAGAAAAATAGAATGCTTGTAACATAGAAAAAGTTCTAGACCCAAAGAAAGAACTCAGAGCCTGGAATCTTCACAACTAATCTGCTTTGGATGGAAAATGGAGTTGTGAAATAATATTCAAAACCTAATATGCTTGCATAATCGATCTTGGATGAATATGTTTATTGTAACTCTTATAGATCCATCACTTTCAGATAATTCATTGTTCCTATTTGATTATCGCCTGTAATCATCATGATATTAGATGTTTTATATACTGGTAAAGATATAATTAACTTATTACAATATTTATTAAATGAACATAAACACATAATTAAAATGGATAGTACATGGACACCATCAAAACATACAATAGAATTTATGGCTGAAGAAACATTTTGGCATGACTTGTTTTATCATGGATTGCCAAAATATGTCGTTAATAAAAATCATATGAATGTATTTAAGGAAATTGAAATTAAATGTAATACTGAAGAAATATTTGAATTAATTAAATCAACGTTTGTCATAGAAAAATCATTTATAGAACAAAAAGAAGTATTGGAATATTTTAAAAATTTTTGTGAAAAATATTCAATGAAATATCATATGACAATGATATGTACATGTTTAAAATGGGAAAAAGTTATTCTTGAATATCAACAGCCAGAGAATCAGATTATGCTTTTAAAATTAACATGTAATATTGAATAAGATATTTTGGTAATAAGGACACGTTTTGTACTATCAGTTTATTTACACCAACTTCTGTGGATTATCAAGTTAATAACTGAAACTATCCTAAGTTTGTTATGATGAGATATAACATAATGTCACGTCTATGATTGAGTATTTTGGTTCGAAAATTACTAACACTGCAGTTTCGATACCTTTTTTTCAACACAAAATACTATAACAGTCCTAACAAGTTGATACTAAGCTGAAGATTTAAATAAATCAAACAAAAAAGTGGTAACATTTCGTGCGTCTTGACAACCATCAGTAGAGTAATATCTGTAAAATGAACTCAATGTTTTTTGAAAACTCCTTTCCTCGATAGGTCCAACAGGTTTGCTAGTTATTTCTATGCCTTAATTAACAAACATCATTAAGTGGAAAATGTTAACTAAACTTTCAATAGAAACTGCACGGTAAAAAAAAAGCGTCGAAAAGTTGATGCTTTTTAGTGGACGGTTTTTTCGTCCCATCTTGGTATGCTTTTTTGCTAGGCGATATTTTTTGTGGACTAGTTTTCTCGTATGTTTTTTTTGTTAGATGGCAAAACAAAATTTGAAAAGATTTCCAGATAATATTTTATTCAGTTTTGAACGCACTATACTTTGGAAGCGCGCCTGCTCTGCTGGTTCAATCCACTATTGCAGGAAATCAGTCGTTTCTGAGATAAGCTAGTGCAATGAAACGAGTCATCTATGCAGTATGCACTTAAATACTATGCTTGGACGAATTTTTGTCGATGCTTTTTTTAGTATACTTCTCGTGGACGTTTTCTAGTGGGCACTTTTTTCGGCGCTTTTCTTTTTACCGTGTGGATGCTTTTCCCATCAGCGGAAATTAGCTTTTGTTAATCCTACTCATAAAAAAGCTTCTAAAACTACTGTGTCTAATTACAGACCAATATTTCTTTTGTCGATATAGAAAAAGCTGTTGATAACGTACCTTATCAAATTATAACTTCTCGTCTATGCATCCTAGGTCTTTCTCCTCTATGTCTCCAATGGTTTGAAAACTATCTTACTCATAGATCACAACAAGTTAAAGTAGGGTCTTTCCTATCTCTTCCTACACCACTAAAATCGGGTGTAATCCAAGGATCAGTGTTAGGGGCAACTATAACCTTCGGTGGCAAGCACGCATAGACAATCTGGTTAAAACCTGCAGGCAATGTCTAGGTGCTATGTACCGCTAATTTAAAGAAGCTCCTGCTTCAGTACAGCTTCATATTTTCAAGATATGTGTTTTGAACAAGTTCGATTACGCCTGTGCATTGTATGATAGCAAGTTCGAGACGTTACAGAATTCACTTGAATGTGTACAAAATCTTGCGCCATATATGATTACGCGGGATTTGGATACATCGGGGAAAGATCTTGTATCCGGTCTCAGGTTACCTCCATTAGAGGTACGAAGAAAATATTTTCGCCTTCTACTATTTGTCAAGCTCTAAAATGGGCACTCCCTACTTTCTCACTTGAGTCTAATTCGGTTAGATACAGCAAGAAGATCAAACAGGTTAGCACAACACTTAAGACAGGTAGAAGTTCCTTTTGCTCGGATGGAGACTGTTTTACAATCTTTTTTATATAAAACAGCTCGAGATTGGAATCAAACTCTATCAGAAGCAGTAGTCTCATCTACCACTATCAGAAGTTTTAAAATAAAATTAAGGCAACATCTCCAACTATGAAAAGAGTAACAAGGCTTATAGGTGCATCGCACTTTTTTTGCTTTCCGGTACCCGATTTTTGATGTAAATTAAAGGTTTCTGTTTTTATTGTATGCTTATCTGTGTTCACATGTTCAAGCTATCAGTCTTGTTGCTACCAAAATAAAAATCAGTCAATCAACTTCCATCCAGTTTCGTAGCGCTTTTAAACTAGACAAAAAATCATATTATTCAAAGGTGTTCTACATATGTCTACATAGAAGTGCTTGAAATGAATATATATGGGTGAGGAAACAGATCGAAATTTTACTGAGGGCAAGAAGGTAAGAAACAAACTATTTGCTTTGTCAGTAATGCTTTACTTTGTAACTAACAAAGTAAAAACTTTGTTTCTTACCTTCTTGCTCTCTTAGGTTGATCAAAGAAGAATTTATGTTTGACTTCAAGTGTTTATATAAAAAGAACTGAAAAAACTGTTCATGTGGACTTTTGTCATAGAATTTCTTATTGTTGTTGCTTTTAGACATAGATAAATTTAGATAGGTTTTAGTAAACAAAATCAAACAGTTTCTAATTTTTCTGAAGCAGGAAGTGACTGCATAAAACCCACATCAATTGGAGAACTGAAATTTTAAAGGGTCACAATTTTCGAGAAAATGCCGCTTTTCACCCTCCAAACAGAATTTCGCCAACAATTCGAAGGTCACATGCGATAAAGAATTCAATTTCCACAAACTGAGCGCAAAAGCTTTATTTAAAAAGTGGTGCAAAAGTTGGAAAGCTGGAACCAATCGGAATACTGGTTTGAATAGCCCGAAGATTCTTCTACCAGATGAGGTACATAGTGCCTTTGCATGAGGAAAGTTGATAATAGAGATTCTGGAAAACCTGCGCTCTGGAAAACCCTAGTTTTCGGTCAGAAAATTCTTTCAAGAAAAGGATTTGTATGGTCTAAAAACACGTTGGGGTTTACCATGAACAAAAACTGCATCAGATGAGGTAACTTAGGACTGATTTGAAAGGGGGGTTGATTTGCGGTCTTATCGTTCCCCATCCTTTGCTCGGAAGCTGAAAATAAAAATCGAAAAAATGTCGAAATTTTTCATTTCTTTAAGAGCTTTCAAAGGCACATCATCTGATGCAGTGTTTGGCACTGATTCCAAATATCATCTTATTTTTGGTCTTAAGTGAAGTTTCGATGACTAAAATCGAAAAAACTGGAAACTCGCGGTTGTTGTGCCATCTTGTTGACATGCTTCAGTACGTGGGAGTGCGCCTGATTATTAGTCAGATTATTTATCAATTGTTTTAAACACTTTTCAGATCTTGCAAGGATGATAAAATCTTTAAAATTATATTCACTATTAAGAACGTCAAGAATATGTCCGATAAAAGAATTTCATAAAAGAGCTGATAAAACCAAAGGAGTATCGGACAAGGACAGATTACATCGATATCTCAGCTCGATTTAACAAAGCAATATACAGTTGATAATATTCGGAAATAGAAATTAAAAGAACGTTTTCGAAACGTATAGGGGGATAAGGGAATTAGGAATGCGACAGTCAAACACCAAATTAGTTTTATATCATAGTGTTTTTTAAAAGCCTTTAATATTGAGATAATTAAACAGACAATTCTAAACATTTTTCTGCGGGTTTTCGAGATGAAGTGAGAAGCTTCGATAGCTCGCAGAAAAATGTTTAAAATTGTCTGTTTAATTATCTCAAATACCAACAGTTTTAATGATGCATTTATAGTTTACTGAAAAAAAGAAGAGTTAGTTGAAGAAGCATGGAATGCAATCCATGGGAATGTGATGCCTAGGTACATTAACAATATTCGAAATGTTTGTCAGCAAATAATTACAAATCAAGACCGGCAAAGTACAGGATGATAGAGAATTTCAAGCGCTATTAGGATATATAATTACTTTTCGGAAAAAAAACATTTCTATATATATAATAAATTTGAAAAAACGACTGAAAAAGGAATAAAAAATGCAGTTTGTGGGAATCTGACGATGAGGTTGCCTTCATCATACCCCAAATATTTTTCAGCAATTAAGTGCAAGTCGAGACAGAAATATACAGGGTGATAGAAAATTCCGTGGGCTACCAGAATATATAAATTACTTTTCGAAAAAAATTTCTATATATATAATAAATTAAAAATATCGACCGAAAACATTTTTTCAAGGAGGATAGCTGGGTGACATCTGTTGCTAATTATATAATGGCTGTTTAGAATGTATCAAACGCATAGAATTGAGTATTCTCTTTTACAATATATAGTCAAAAGTTTACTAGCTTGCTGGTGGTAGGAAACCATAGTTGAGAAAATTAAGTTTTTCCAAAAATGGAAGTTTGACGTGAAAACTGCGAAATACAAGTGAATTTCCTTGTTTTTTGGCACCTGTTTCAAGGTACTATGCATTGTGGCGAGTAGAATGATATAAAAATATTGTCTTCATCTCCTGTCTAGAGAGACTAGAAACTTTTTTCGCGGACATGAATGAGATTTTTACTATGGATGAAAAACTAAAATTTTTTAGGTCATGTCATACTTGAATAGTATCAAAACACTATTTTTCAGATTTGGTTTTTAACGGAGAACAAGAAGAAAAAACTTCCAAGGTTCCCAAACACACTGTGTTCGAGTTTTACGTTCGTTTTTAAAAAGCAAGCCATTTTTTAAAATTTTAAACTTTTCAGTTTTTTTTATTTTTCACATAAAAATTTTGATTCGAAAGCTTAAAATACACATATTCTTGTTCAGCTCAACGAGCTTTATCTAACCATGTATAAATATCGCAAAAATAAATTTTGCTTAAGTTTTGAATTTCCAGCACCTTGTGGTACCACTTTCTGCTGAAAGTGGTAATAGCCACTCTTTGACAGTTGTTGTAAGTGGCAATAGCTTCTAGTTGACAGTTTCAAAAAGTGACATTAGCGCCTTAATGACACTTCCAGATGTGGCAATAGCTTGTTATCAACGCTTCTGTAAGTGACAATACACCCACCCACCCAGATATTCACTGAGTAGCGTTTGCGCGATTCTTTCACAAAAGTTAGGAAATGTCTACGCGCAGTCTTTTAGCACCAAGTTCTGAGCCGCCTCCACCTCCCGAATCGTTTAAATCAATCATAGATATTAGAAACTGTAATGGGCAAGGATTTAATGCAGAACAGATTAATTAATACGGCTGTTTTGAAACCTTTCATTGGATATTTCGACCTGTTTATTCGGTCATTTTCAACATACTACCAACAAAAAACAGCAGCATAACCTATGCAACATCCCTGTCGAGAATGCTAGTAACTTTTAACTCACAAACCTAAAATGTAGCTTGAAATAATGTTACAGCTGTTGTATATTGGTAACTGGCTGAGGAGTTATTAACTATTTTTTCCAATACTGTGCAAATCCTATTCACTTTTTGACTATGTACTATGTAGGAAAAATACGTCTGCAGGTCAGTTCTTCTGGGAATATACTATCTATACGTTTCCTTGCCTGTGAAGATATGCTAGCTACTTCCGCGTCATTATCAAATATTCGCACTAATATATTGATAATTATTGTGTTGACGTAATGATCATACAAAAAGATTAGAAAAGGTAGGAGAACTGTGTCCGAGAGGATAAAGAACACCAGCTTTTGTTTTTCGACACACGTACACAGAAAAAAAATAAAATAAAAGCATACA